TATTTGGGATAAGTGAACCACTTGACTCAAGTAAATGGTACATTGTTGTCTTTTGCGTTGTGTTTTTCATGTTGATGGACTAATTTATTCACTAATTATGAAGTTTGTAGAAGTAAGCCGACCTTATAAACATTAACAAGGATAATGTTTTAAAAGTATAAAAAAAAAGAAGTAAAGTACAAGGGAGCTTGCTTTTAGGGTAGGAAAACAGTGCACCATATATACAATTTAACATTAAAAATGATACTCGGATTAGATTTATTTACCATATTCATTTTTAAATGCAATGCATTACATACTGCTACTCCAATGATTACAATAGATTCAACTAACAAATTTGATAATAAACCTGGTCCAAATACTATTATTCATTTTATGCATTTTTTTTATTCATTGATGTGATAATTAGCTTGTATTTGTCACGTCATACTTCATTAATGTTACTTCTTAAAACCAAAACATAGTCGTTAAAATGTTATAAACAATTGTGAGCCACACAACATACTCTTTTATATTATGGATGATAAAAAGTATCATCTTAGTATCACAATTCACAAGACTTAGACCGATTGGGTGATCAACTCAACTTCAACCTAAATTATAAAGCTCAAGTTTAACAGAACCCGATCTTAGTTCTAATCATCATACAGCCAAGTATGTAGCATCATGAACTGTCACTCAAGGGAGCCACAGCTATCCTCTTCAGTGAAAAGAGAAGAAGAAGAAGAAGATGCAATAATCATACCACCTCGGGGTTAATTTTTTTTATTCATCGAAGTGTCTTGCCTAGTATTAACTGGAAAAGGGTTGAGAGTTGCTAAGCAACAAAGAAGGATCAAATTCAAGTCTTAAACCTTATTAAAAATCACATTTAATCATCACATACACACATTATGTGTATTTTGTGGGGTCGGGGTGGGAACCTTGTCTCAATTGGAAGGTTAGTGACCATCAAAATTAACCTGTGATGATTATTATCCTGAAACTAATTAGTAGAATTTCTTTGTAAACGCACAGAATAAGTTTTCCTACTTTATTTTTGAAAGTGAAATCTATAAGTGTGTGGGACCATGCTTTGGGTAATTGTTATTTTCACTCAAAAAGCCAATGTCGAAGCTTTCTTTGTGTCCAATTGTTTCTTCATTGAATATACAAGCTAGAGCATTGATTCCTCCTTTATTTATTTTTTCTTTTCGCTTCTCATCTTTTTCATTTGTTGTATTTCTTTCTTTTTCACCTTATTTCTCTCACACATCATAAGCACGAGTCCATGTGCACCCATGCCGTGTAAGATCTAAAAAAATTTATTATTGTTACGAGTTTATTAATTTTGATAACTCTTGTCCTATATGAGAAATTTTTAATGGACGAGCAGAATAGACATGTTTGAAACCTGGCTTGACCACAAAGAGAATGTTTTCCTAGGCTTGAGCTTGACATACATTGTTATTCAACTCGACCTAGTTTTTCAAAAAAAAAATACCGCTTGACATAAACCCTTAAGCTCAATGATGTTTTAGGCTAATCTTTATATGTCAATCCATCTTACTCAATCCCAAATGGGGAATACCTTGACATAAACTTAGGGCTAATAATTGAGCCAAACTTCTCGAACTCGACTCAAGTTTAATTCGAATATGATTCAACTTGAGTTTAAAAAACTTGATTCAATTATCCTACTCGATTCGATTATCAGCCCTACATGTAAACTTAAATCCATTCTTAAATCTTAAGAAAGTGAATTTTTTTTTTGATACAGATGAAAAAAAAATGAAGTGAAATTCAGTTTTGCCCTTTGAATGAAATTTATTTTGTATTGATAAAGTATTATTTATTTTCTCTATCTTCCCTGGCCAGGAGATTTGTTGGTCACATCTCCCCACCCCCACGCAAAAAAAAAAAAAAAAATGCCCACCCCCCTGAATATTTATGCAGAAATTTCAACTTCCACAGCCATTATTCGTAAACCACCCCCTCCCCTTCCTAAAGTCCGAGTCACACATCCACCTGTCGTTGATGAAACCACGACCACGACCACGAACGACCACGAAACACATCCATTGTAGCAACACCACCACTCATCTCATAACGGTAGAACAAAACAAGACATAAATGAAATTTAACCGATACCCCTATGCAGAAAACTTTTGATCATAGTAAAGCCTGACAAATGTTTTCAAGTGCTAAACTAATAAGATCGAAACGACTGAAGAACCTTCAACAAATAAACAAGTCTCAAGTGCTTCTTTGGACGGGGGTATTTTTGTATATATGTATGTGTGTTTTAACTAAAAATACTTGTAAAACCGTTTCAATTCACTATTTGAGATTGTGGGTAATGTTCAAGTTGGGCAGTCTTGAGCTTGGACATTATAACTTGACATTAACAGATTATAATTTTCGATACCATACCGAAAACTTCCTCTGAACCTATTAGCAAACAGCCATTAATGGGCTCATTGCTATATGAGTAGCTCTCTATGATTATTCACTTCATGGCCCATCAAAGCATGCCCTCCTTACATTTGTAGGCCAAGTTTATTGTCTTCTTGTGCTGTATAAGATCAGTTTCTACAACAGATATACAGGTATTCAATGACATTCATCTGACAAATATCTTTCACCATCTACATCTGTATTCATTAAAAATTGAACATCAACTTAATTAGACTGAATTTTAAAAGTTTCCAACTAATTTCCAACTTAATTCTATCAAATAATTGCTCAATGTCATCTATATTTATACATATAATTTGATCAAATCATCATCTGGCAAAGATACTTTCATACCTGAATATAGTCTGAGACTATGACATATCATATTCGGATTATTAACAAGCATCAAATGATTCATATACGACTAGTTGGCATTGGATTCAAATCAAAATCAATCTATTCACGTACCTGAGTTATATAAGGGTTTATAGTTCTTCCTGTCCACTTTCCAAAGCATGCCATTTCTGGCCATAAACCTACTATAGTGGACCTATTCTCACAAGCAATAGCTTATAGGCCATCCAATGGCATGGACTTGGATTTTCCAGACACCTAATAAGATAGTTTCTATATTTTGGACCTATCCAAAGCATGGACTTAGATTTTCAGACACACAATAAGATTGTCTCTGCATGGGAATCAGCTTCTTGGAAACATGTATAAGTGTCTGCTGCACCCATGCATTATTTTCTGATTCCCATTTGTACTATAAAAATGTGAGAGCTTCAAACACTTTCATGTCAAATGGCAAAGCAGATCTCTGTACTGGAATCTACGGTGTTGATTTTGTTTCCATTAAAGGAAGATTCTCCCACCAGAGTGTATGCAGTTTTGCAGCTCAGGTGGTCACAAGCCATACTGTTTTCTCTATTTCTATTGCTATAGCTTTATATAAACTTCTAAAGTTAGGGGGTCACACAAGCACAGGCCACACAAAGAGAGAGAGAGAGAGAGAGAGAGAGAGAGAGAGAGAGAGCAGTTGTTGAAGGACAAGTACAATTGCAAGGTCAGTTTATCTAGCTTTCTTAGAAATTGCACACTGATACAAACCCAGGGTTAATCTAGTTAATTGACCCTAAAACACCAGCTGATCAATATTTTCAAACTCATTGCCTAACTACAGAATTTTTCTCAATCACTTGACTTTCAAGCTAACATCATATATTCAGAGGTCAAAGGTTTCCTACCAAGGCAATCTAGTAGTTATATCTTGTATTTTATGTTTACTGTTATGGAAGAAATTTCAGTTTACCATCCAACCAACACTATGAGAAAATTCCATCCTTTTTATATATAATGTCTTCTTTTCCTAGGACTATATCGCATCTTCCAGGTTTAGTATCCCATCCAGTCCTATCCGGTCCTGATATCCGGCCTACTGGACATGGCTTACCTATTTTGCTTCATTTAAAAACCTCTTCCAATTTTTTAAGTAGAATGAAAGTTTCAAGGTAGGATTTGGCAGTTTAGAAGGTATCATACTTAATAGTTGATAACTGATGAAACTCAAACCAACCAAAACCTGTCCAATTCCAAACCAAAGACACTTGTGGCCTTTGAATAAATCCACCAAGTAATAGGACCATCAAAAGACATTTTAGCATAGGATTACAAACTACATTCACATCATAAGAAGGGTGGTCACCTGTTCATGTAATTAACCTTTGTTTCAAAATGAAGCAGATAAGCAGATATCAAGCTATAACATGTTGACTAACCTTCCAATAGGCTTCGAATTGATGGGAGTGGCCGAATCCTTCAGAAAAGCTCGTGCACATAAATAAAAGTGTCGGTGTGCAGATCAAAACCATCTTCATACACATCCATCCTAGTTCTTAACCTACCTTCTTAATTATTAGGAAAATAATAGTCCTCAATGTAGGAAAATATTATGTGTTTTCCCAATTGCAATACTGTAAAATGGAGTAATAGGGACACATAAATAGGATGATGAAGTCTAAAGTACCATGCACCTAGGCTGCAAAAGATTTATCTCAAACATTCTTTAATACTATTAAACATTTTAACAAAGGGGGATCAACATAGAGTTCTCAGATACACAAAGTTGTTTTAAAGCTTCAGAAATTAATTACCAATAGACTGAAGCTGCAAAAGGAAATATTTTTAACATTTCTGAACGAGAGGAATACTTTTTCAGAATCAAAGGATCGTTACCAAATCTGTGAAGCATGAATGAAACTGACAATTTTCTAAGAATTCCAAGGACAAGATCAACATTCATGTTATCTCTTCCTTGGTGGCATCTATCCGAGCTTGTTCACCTTTCTCCTATACTTCTATGGAATTGTTCAATGGTCTCACATACAGAAGGAGAAGAGATATTACTTAATGGACTACAAAGACTTGAGAGCATTTTAAGGACCAAAAAAGACAGAAAGAGATTTTAATGAGACATTTACAGCATGGATACAAGATAATACTTCGACAATTAAAAAAAAAGCCGATGTTATAAAGGCTGCATTTTCTTGCAGGAATTTGAAGCCATGGACAGCAGCAGTAGCTCACTCAATAATCCAGGTACCCTATTTATTCATAAATGTTTTCCCATTCCTCATTTTCAAATATTATGGATAGAGCAACTGACTGCATCTAAAAACTTCTCTAGGATTGTGAAGACCCTGGTCCATTACCGGACCCCTGTCTTCCAAGGGCATTCCTCCCATTACCGGGATATCCCGCCCTCCACCAAAGGATTTCGGCTGACCTGCGGGTCAAACTCCCACAGTAGCCTTTACCTCTGTCCCACATCGGGGAAAGAGTCGTCTCCCCACCCCCATATAAGCCGAAGCACCATATGAGAGCAGTACCCAAGTAGCACACTGTGGTACTTGGGTACTGCTCTGATATGGTGCTTCGGCTTATATGGGGGTGGGGAGACGACTCTTTCCCCGATGTGGGACAGAGGTAAAGGCTACTGTGGGGGTTTGACCCGCAGGTCAGCCGAAATCCTTTGGTGGAGGGCGGAATATCCCGGTAATGGGAGGAATGCCCTTGGAAGACAGGGGTCCGGTAATGGACCAGGGTCTTCACAAGGATAAATAACGGAAACCTGTTCTATGATTGCAATATATTAGAACCATTCCCCAAAATTGTATACTCACTGGAATCTTGAAAATGATTCATAAAATGGCATCAATACACTAAGACTTGCCACCAAATGTATAGAATATTAAATGCAAACCAGTCGGCATAATGCAATTGGAAATGAACAATCTTTAAAGTGGACTTACACTCCAATTTCAGAAATGACTTTGATCACTTTTCTATAACATCATAGATTCACGGTTGAAAATTGGGGTTAATGGAACTTTTAGTTTTTAGATTGTAGATGATACTCGTGCCAAAATACCAAGTTGTGGTCTACAACATTTTGGAAGCAATAAGCTGAGATCTATGATAACCTTAAATCCATCAAGGCATTTATTTTTATAAGAAACAAACATTTTATTAATACTCATGGCAAAGTATTACAAACATTCAAAACGAAATTGGACAAGAGTCCAATCCAACTGACAAACAAGACAGTAACCTAAAAACAAAAAAACATCACAAGCACTTTCCATAACCAACTGTCTAATCTCTCAAACTTCTTTGTCACCGAAGCCCAAAAGGAAGCTAAAAAATAAGCCTTTTCCCATAGTGCTAAAAAATAAGCCCTTCCAACACTTTTCTATTTTATCTTCAAATATTCTTGCATTCCTTTCCATCCATACAACCCACACGATGGCAAATAAAGCCCAATTCCATAGTGCACACCTTTCCCTTTTTCATAGTGCCACACCCATCCCTCCTCCATCTAATCCTTTAAAATCCATGAAAAACATGGGATAAATAGATCCCAGGGTCACCCAACAAAACCATCAAGGCATTGTAGAAGTTCTAACGAATAACTACAGGAAGAACTTTTCTTTTTTTTTTTTCCCCCTGAAGGCACTAAAGTTTTCCATAGAATATGCATAAACTGCAGAGTAAATTTAGATTTGTGCCGTTTAATGTGAATTAAATGTAGAACTCTCTTCAGATTTGAGCAAGAAGACTTCGGAGTTGGAAATGCTGCAGAAACAGCATGAAGTGAAAATGTTGAGGATCCAAGAGCTGAAGAAACAAAAAGAAGCAATGAAGCTTCAGTTAGAGAAAATTCCAGAGGAGAAGAAGGAAGTTTTCAGAAATCTGAGTGAGAAATACAACAGCCTGAGAAATGAGTACAATGCACTGTTGGGTGAAAAGTCACAGGAACCCAAGTAGAAATCCAGTTGGGTAAAGATCATCTGCTGTACAACATCTTCTGCTGTTCTCAAAAAGACATTATTGTTTTGGCAACAAAATGGCATCATTAAGTATCCAAAACGATGCCGTTGGGAACAGCACGTGGTGCTATACAACTGAGGAGCTCTACCATATCCAGTCGTTTTCATTTTCCATGTTGCAATGCAACTCAGAAAGTGTCATAGAACCTCGTGAAATCCTAAGTATTAGATTCAGCCGTCTTTTAGGATCTAGTAGTTTATGCAATGTGACTGTTAATCTACTGCTATTATTCCTCTGCTTTTGGTTTGTGTCAAACATGTTTAGCATTTGGGGTGTTGATGGAATATGTACTTCTTGTGATGCCAATCTTGTTCTAAATCAATTTCTCACGTGTCATATAAGAAAATGACTCGCATGAAAACAGATTTTTTTTTTAAAAAAAATGATTATAGCACAATGGCAGATTCGGTTTGAGACTAATTTGAAAATACTTAAATAAAAAAAAATTGGAAGTTTTATTGCGATGGTTAGTCTACCTCAAATCTAGTATTTGTAATGCAAACCAAACACCAAAATTTTGTCTTATGGTTTTGACTAGCTCAGATACGAAATCAATTAGAAAATTTTTCACAACCGTTTCAGAAACAGTATTGAAACAAATTAATTAGAAATTTGTTATTGAACCATTTTCAAATATTAACTAGAAACATACCTAAGTATCCCCAAACAACTTTGAAACATAGGAATTTCAATATTCATATTCAATCATGAATCCATTTTCATTTCCATGGAACCTAACGTTTGAAATTTTTATCATTAAGCACTACAAGAACAACATAGGCTGAAAATATTACCTACCAGAAAAGAAAGCATATGATGAAAGAATAGCGCAATTGGGACCTAAAAAATACAATTAATCACCATTTAGCGAGGCTACTAGTACTTGAGTCTTTCTCTTGGGTGTGGCATCAAGTACATGTATGTTTACCGATTAACCAATTTCGAAACACCAAGTAGATCCTAAAGAGATACCAATTCCTTATGAATTTATTTAGAATCGGGATATTTTGGCTCAACTTTATCCGAGTTTTGCTGAGGGAGCAACCCTGTTTTTCACCTTGAAATGGTCAAAATTTGCGAACTTTCTTACTTTTCGTGGAGAAGAATTTCCTTCTTTCTTGTCCAAATTTCATGCATTAGATCCGGTACCAGTAATACGGGTCTATGGCCCTAGATTTTTTCTTGAGTAGAAGCAACTCTTTATTAATAATCAAAGGAAAGAATACAAGAAAACCAAATCAAGTGTGGACAAGAAATCCAACACAAAGACGGGCCAAATAAAAGCAATTAAAACTACAAGATTAATTTGCGTGGCCCTAGATTTTTTTGAATAGTATGGCCCTCGATTAATTTGCATAGTTTGCTTCTTAACCCACAATATTGTTGTAATTACAATTGTTAGACACTTTTAGTGTGACCATATTACCACCATATCATTAGGCTGGTAGACCTAATGGTCACAAACCGAATCGGGTAGAAATACTAACCTTGATTCATGGGATCCATGATGATGATTCTTCCATAAGATTTGCAGCGAAAATTCTCACAAGAAGAATATGGAATTCGCGCACAAAATTGATTCCCGCAAGTTGCAGATATAGTCTTTTCAGAGAGTAAGAGACATCTATAAGTGTGAATAAGAGATGAAGTCTTTCAGGCAATTTATATATCCCTCTCTAGTAATCAATTGCCCTTTAATTTAAATAATTAGAAACTGTTCCCTTCCATTCCCTAACTATCAATTAAATTGTTTCCTTATACCTACGACACCACTCACAAAAAAATTGCTCACTAACCAAACCACGTAATTTAGATTTTTAATTAGTCCCAAAAACCCAATAATATATTTTTGAAATAAGTAAATACTTGGGTTCGATAAAGTTATGCGTGCGCTTTGTCAAAATTATTCTAATACGAGTGAGCTAAACTTTATTCTTCATTACTTGAGAATGGTAATATGAACTACAGTAGATATACACCAAATAATATTCTTATGGGCCACCAATTAGAATCAACAACTTTTAGCCCAATGATAAAATTCCTCAACCAATTTGCCAATGTAATCGCCTCATAGCATGCAACTAGCTTAACCTCCATAGTAGATGCAGCTGCTAATTTCTATTTTGAACTCTTCCAAGCGATTGCACTATTAGCAAGTAGAAATATATAACCTAATGTTGATCTTTTGCTATCTAGGCATCCTGCAAAGTAGGAATCTATATATCCAATAACCTTTTGATTCAAGTATGAATCTATATATCCGATAAGGAATTTATATATCCGACAACCTCTAGAAAATCAAATCTGTTTTATGTTAGCATGTAATCATGTGTTCCTTGAAGATATCTAAGCACCTTCTTCTCAGCTCTCTAGTGATCCAAACCTGGGTCACTTTGAAAATTACCCAATACACTAACTACAAATACAATGTCTAGGCCAATGCAATGTTGAGTATACATTAAAGTCCCAATCAATGACGCATAAGGACATGCTCTCATCTGTTCCCTTTCAAGATCATTTCTCAAAGATTGAGATTTACTTAATCTGTCACCTTTAGGCATAGGTGCAGCCGTGCAGGGTTAGGTTCTAAGTTTTCCATACCATATCTCTCCAACATTTCCTTAATGTAGGTCCTTTGAGATAAATGAAATTTTCCTCTAAATCTATCCTTGTGAACCTCTATGCCAATGACATACAAGGCCTCACTCATATCCTTCATTTCAAAATGACGGGAGAGAAAATAATTAGTCTCAACAAGCAACGTTAAATCACTAGTAGCAAGCAAAATATCGTCTACATATATGACTAGAAAAATGAATAGGCTACCACTGATTTTAAGTTATGTACAACGATCAACGATATTTTTTACGAAACCATATGAAAAAATCACATTGTTAAACTTAACATACCATTGACAAGAGGACTGTGTAAGTCCATATATAGACTTATTTAGCTTGCAAACCATATGACTAAGTCTCTAGAAAACAAAATCCTTATGTTGTTTCATGTACACCTCTTCTTTTAGATCATCATTGAGAAAAACTATTCTCACCCCCATCCGGGGACACTCCAAGTCAAAATGAGCCACCAAAGCCATAATTATTCTCAAAGAGCCTTTCTTAGATACAAGTAAGAACGTCTCATTGTAATCAATACCTTCCTTTTAAGTGAACTCCTAGACAACAAGTCTGACCTTATGTTGTTCTACCTTTTCTTTACAGTCTCTCTTCGTTTCATAGACTCATTTACAACTAATTGTTATAGCACCTAGACGTGGTTTAATTAGATTCCAAACATTGTTTTTGTCCATTGAGTTCAACTCTTCTTTCATGGCATCATACCATTTGGAGGAATTCAAACTATTTATGGCTTGTGAGAAAGTAGTTGAATCATCACACTTTCCAACTCTTGAAGGTACATAATATAATTTGATGGAATTGTTGATTTCCTAACCATTGATGACCTCCTTAAATTTTCTTCTTGCCCCATTGCATGTGTAGGTGAAACAATATTCTCGGTAACAAGTTCAGTTACAGATCATTTATAATTGACTCATCCTTAATCAAATCATTACGAATGATAGGAGGAGGAATCATTACCAACTCATCTAAACTTTGCATAGAAGATGGAGTTTGGTATCCCTAAAACACAATATTTTTAGACTTTATTCTCCCACTGATCTGGTAAATTTCAAGGAATTTGCATTCTATGTACAATCCATAGAGAGGAATTTGCATTTTGTGTCTCTACAATCCGTAGAGAATGATCAGGGCAATAAAATTTATATCTCTTGGACTTCTTTGGATAATCACTGAAATAACTACTTATGGTTATAGGATCTAACTTTTTTTCTTAAGGGTTATACACCTGAGCTTCAGCTTGACAACTCTAGATGGGTAGATGTGCTAAACTGGATTTTCTATCTATCTACAAGTCAAATGGTGTTTTAGGGACAATCTTAGTAGGATCCCTGCTTAGAATGTATATGAAGGTTTTCAAGGCATCACCCCAAAAAGAGACTGGGAGGGTGGAATAGCTAATCATACTCCTAAACTTAATTTCTTCTTTCAGCTATTCCATTTTGATCAGGAGTACACAACATCGTATATTGTGCCATTAATCTTGTTCAGAATCCAAAAAATGGACCTAATGTTGTCTTGAATCAATATACCTACCATAATACGCACCACCATCTATCTGACCTCACGGTTTTGATCTTTTATCAAGTTATAACTTTTACCAGTGCTTTAAAAATCTTGAAATTATCTATGTCTTGATCTTTATCAAACAAAAGGTAAAGATAATCATATCGTGAGAAATCGTCTATGAAAATGATGAAATATTAATGGCCTCTAAAACATGGGGTTGAGAATGACCCACAAATATGTGTATGTATGAGATCCAACACATTCAAGCTTCTTATAACAACTTTCTTGAACTTGTTAGTCTGCTTACCCTTATTACAGTCTATGCAAGTATTAAAATCTGTAAATTTAAGGTCGGATAAGATTCCATCATTTACCAATCTCTTGATTCTTCTCATGGAGATGTGTCCTAATCTCCTATGCCATAAGATGGAAAAATTTTCATTCAAAATGTTAGACTTCAATCCATAATGTTCCTTATCATGGAGGGAGATGTTTCAAATGATATATCTAGGGAGAATTTAAATAAACCATCCTCTAAAATACCATTACAAACGATGTTTTAAATGATATATCTAGGGAGAATTTAAATAAATCATCATCTAAAAAACCATTACAAACCAAAACACCTTTTAAGTATAAACTAACAAATGAAGGTCCAAAGATAACTATAAGAAAAAAGTCTAGGTACTAAATAAAAGATTTCTAGAAAAACTAAGAACATAGAAAGTGTCATGTAAATATAAGATGTGGTCAATTTTTAGAAAAAGGCTGAATGTCCCTACAGCTTCC